GACCCCACCAGCTGGATTGAAACTAGTGTCCCATCTACAAAGAAGAGGGTCAACACAGAGGAAACATTTCCTCCATGCTTCCAAGTGAAGCCAGCCATGATCAAGTAGGACCTTTGACTGATCTTCACATAGATGGAACTGGTAAAAGAAAGGAGGGCCTCCTCCAAAGCTATGTTACCCCTGGGGAACAGATCCTAAAATGACCTTAAGAGTAAAAATAAATTGTTTTATCTGAGCCAACTGCAGGGTCTTAAACACCCAAAAGAAAGTATAACCAAAGATCAATGGGGTCAATATAATTTTTAAGCGTCCATATATAGCTAAAGTCTACATAACAAGAAACAATGCCAGACAGGTGATACCTTCCTTTGAGTTATTGGCCAGGGTGGCCCAAGAGATTCCCATACAGTAACCCAGCATAGAATTGGGAAAATGAACAGCAGACCCCAATCTTACCTAAAGGAATATTGACAACTGATTGCTGCTAGATGAGGAGCAGCTGATCTTCCTTAAACAAGGCTCTCTAGATAGGCTGAATAGATTCAACAGATGGACAAGCACTGGAGAATGGCTGAGGCTATCGACAACATAGAGGACAGTAACAGGGATGACAGAATATGTGGGCTTCAGTATGTGGGAGGGGAGAGGCTATGGGAGGGTGCCATTTGGGAAGTGGATATATAGATGAATAAGACTGTGTGAGATGTTCTGTATGATATACACACAGAAAAATCAACATATTTTAAAAAAGACATATTTGAGGAGGAAGCATAAAAATTTACTTCATGGACCATTATAAGGGAATTGTCTTAGTTTGTTCTTCATTGCTGTGACAAAATACTCTGACCAATACCAACTTGGGGAGGAAAGGGTTTATTTGTCTTACATCTCCCAGGTCGCATGCAGTTCATCAGGGAGCCCAAGGTAGGAACTCAGGGCAGGAACCTGGAGGCAGGAGCTGGAGCACAGGCCATGGAGGAATGCTGCTTACTGGCTTGCTCCCCTGGCCCCTGCTCAGCCTGCTTTCTTATGCAACACAGGCCCACCTGCCCAAGGGTTCACCACCCGCCAGGTGGCTGGGCCTGCCCACATCACTCATCAAGAAGATGCCCCTCAGACATGGCCACAGGCCAGTCCAATAGAGGCAATTTCCCGATTGAGGCTCCCTCAACCCAGGTGTGTCAAGTTGACACTAAAGCTATCCAGCACAAGAGGTGATAAACATTACCAATGAAATCTACCCGATGACTTTATATCCATACTCAGGAACTAAGGACCCAAGTGTAACCGACTGTGACTAGTAATCATCAGATCCTTAGATTAAAGATACATGTGCAAACATCTAAGCATTAGTAGCATTAAAAATGTAGGAAAAAGCTGGGCGTGGTGGCACATGCCTTTATTCCCAGCACTCAGGAGGCAGAGGCAGGCAGATCTCTGTGAGTTCAAGGCCACCCTGGTCTACACAGTGAGTTCCAGGACAGCTGGAGCTAGAGAGAGACCCTGTATCAAAAAGAGCAAAAAAAATTTTTTTTTGGAAAAGCATACTTTAAAATGAAATGGAGATATTCTTTAAAAGTTTAAAACTCATTCAGTTTTATATCTTACAGGGTTTATACTGAGTTCAATATTGTATAATTGTATTAATTCAACTGTGAACCTAAAAATTTACAGCCACTTTTGAAAGAGATGTATCTTTGTTCTGGAAATTGTTATTGAATATGTTAAAGTTCTAATGAAATGCTTCTTCTAATCATGTGGTTATTAA